CAATACATTGTTTTTATAAGTAATAATTAAATATTATTATTAGTATTTTAATTATTAATTAAAGTAAATAATTATATTTTATTAAATTATATTACAATATTACAATTAAAGTATATAATAAAATGATTCAAATTTTACAAAACTGATTATTATTAAACAATTATAATTATTTTATACCCGGGTTTTCTACGAATCTTTATTCAACTATTATATAAGCAATGCATTGATAAGTACTAGTAGTTGAATAGATTCGTAGAACACTCCGGTTATATACTGTAGCCTACAGTCTGTAGGCATCACATTTTGTATAGTAGTKTACTATATATTATAGTATAATATTATATGTATAGTATGTCTAATTAATATAGTATTACAATAGCTATAGATATGGGATTTTATTCATGAGAAATTTTCTAGAAACTTTCTATTTGCCAATCTCTACATTGAAGTGATATAATATATATATATATATATATATATATATATATATATATATATATATATATATATATATATATATATATATAAGGAATTCAGTGTATTCTTCTGGGTATTAGAAACATAGCATAGTCATTGTTTTTTATATTATAAATATTGTTGGTCATAAGTTTGATAAATAATATAATAAAATGCAAAAGTTTTTTTTTGTATATTATATTCAATGAATAAATTATTTAAAAAAATAATTTAACTAATACTTATATAAATAATATAATTATAACTACATATTGATAATAATAATAATAATAATTGAAATCATATATTAAAATAATTACTTTAATTTAAAAAATTTTGATAGAGATTAAAGTGTAATATTTGCAATTTCGGAGATTTTTACATTTTTATTAATTAATTTTTATTTGATTGGTTGTTGTCATCATAATTTTATAATCAGTCGTAATAAATTTAACAATAAATTTTATGTAGACTTAATTAATCAAGTTATGACAAAATTGATACATAAAATTATTATTAATTTCCACAAATGTATTATCTCTATGATTAAAATATCAATTTATGAAAATAGTAATATTATTTTTTTTGAAATACACTCTTTTATGTTGTTTAAACAAAATTTTTAAATTCTATTGAGTACTAAACTAATACTAATATTTATTACAATTAAACAAATCTGAAATATATTCACATCTATAAAAGTTTAGTATTTCTACTTAATGTCGGCAATATTTTTTGAAGTGTATATGATTTATAAAGATTAGTTATATGTTATATAAAGCTTTACTTTGTCATTATTTATGCATATGTACAGTACATTAGATATAAAGTATATGTATTTTTAATAATTTGTTCAATAAATGTACAAAAATTGAACTTATATTTTTGTAATATTAAACCTCTATAAAACTTAGTGACAAACTATACAAATATGTATTTTATAAATAGATTTTAGAAAGTTTTACATAGAAAACATTTAATCTTTTGTATTATAATTTTTTGATATATTTACAATAAGTAAATATTAATATAATTATAGATTTTTGTTTACTGTATTTAGTATTTTCAAAAGAAATAAGTTTCAAAATAAAAATTCCTCAAATTTTACCGCAAAATATAAAAAATATTTTACTTTTACTTTATAACCGATTAGAAAAAATCTATAAATATAATTATCAATAAAAGGTACCAAAACTCAATACTACTGTAATAAACACATCATTTTATTAAAATATTTTTAATTTTCTTAAAAAATAAATTTTAGTAAAATTTAATAATACTATTTAATAATACATCTCAATATAAAGTATAATAAAAACATYTTTTTTCAAACTTTTTAATCAAATGAATGATTTAGAATTCAATAAGTTGTATGACATGAAAATATATTTCCTGGAAATTCCTAGGGAACAGAAAAAATATACAATTTCCTGGATCTCTATCTGTATTTTCATCGTATATATTTTTCTCATATTTTAATGCTTTTTTGCAATATTTTATATTATAAATAAAATAACTCAAAATATTATATTATCTTTTCCATAGTTTAGGAGCTTTCTTGTAGTTTAAAAAATAGTTTTATTTAAATTTTACTGATGAGTGACATAAATATTTTTATTTCTAAATTAAAGTAAAGTAAAGTAAACACTGAGTATTTGTTTTAAAACACTTGAATTTGCAAAAGTAAAAAATTATTTTAATAATAATATATAAATAATAAAATAATATAAAATAAAAATAACAACAATAATTATATATCTGACACAAGTATAACAATTTGATAAAACGTGTTATGACTAAATTCAATTAATTTAGTTTTAACTTAAAATTTGAGTTTTTTTAATAATATTTTTATTACTTCTATTTATTCTATTCTAAAGTTTAATACAATATAAGATTTCTTATAAAATTTTTAGTACATAAACAATATTTTACAAATAATTATTAAAATTTTTCAAAATATATTTATTAAGTATATTGAAAATTTTTAATAATTATTTGTAATAAKCACTTTAACATATATTATAATATAATGTCTTTAAAAATCATTATTATTATTTAAAATAGTTTATAATTTACTTATATATGATACATCAATGTATACTTTTGTTTAATATTATAATATGATGTTTACATTAAAGTRAAAATTAAAATAAATAATTAAATTTATTGTTAGTTTAAAAWCAAATTAATTTAATAACAAAAAATAATTATTTTTAATTAGTTCTTTTAACTAAAAAGCAAAAATTAATTGTTGAATTYTATTACAAAAATTCTATGAAATCTTTAAAACTGTTTAAAACAAATATTTAAAATCAAGTCTTTTAACAATTCAATTGTATTATTATAKTRTAAACTGATAAAATAAATTCAAAATAAATAATTAGAAATAATCAGGTACAATTATTTCTTATTAAAACACTAAAAATACTGTAATATATAAATAAATTTAGACAAATAAGAAAAATTTTAAAAAATTGTTACAATTTAATTATATCAACATAAAATCAGATTGAAATGATAACATTATACTGTATATACAATAATAGTATATGTTTTTGTAAATACTAGATTTTTTAATGCAGCCATAGAGTTAGTCAGATAATACTTAAATAATATTATTTAAGTTTTTATTTTTTAAATCCGACAGATTATCGCTGATGCAGACATTGACATGAAAATTCAATTATCAATAATATTGTATGAAAACATATTACAATTATTATCTTATTATTAAAAGTAGCAGATAAAATAGATGATATATCATAATAATGCACATAAAATAATAACCATTTTGTGACCACCAATTATTAGGTTATCAGTCCTAAAGTGTATACAGAAATACATTATATTATAGTTATAACTTATAATGTACTATATTATAGTAATAGTATTTATATTATATACCGTAATGGTATATCAGTTTAGTATTAGATCAAACTTATTTCATTACTTCTATGATTGTTTGATTACTTTTTATATTATGTATGTTTTAATAGACATTATTACTAAATATTATATATTGAATATGTTTTATATACTGATTAGACAATGTGTGTCATAATAATGTGCTATTGTTTCTGGAGATTAAAATCTTATATCAATTCATTATTTGATAGATAACAGCATTTGTAATGTATACACAAATATAAAGTCTTAATGAAAGGCAATGTCATAATAAATCGTGGATTTGTTGGGAAAGCAGTTTCCGAAATGGAAATGACTTCATAATAATAAAAAACAATAAACTTATTGTCATTATTGGCAAACAATGTTTTATTTTATTTCTACATTTTCACCAAACAATTGAATTAATCAAATCAAACAAAACATTTAGTAAACAGAAATTAATGCATTAAATATTTATATTAAAAGCAGTTTTACAGCTTTTATACAGCTATTTACTGTATATTCCCATAATTTTATACTAAATAATAAATTTACTTTTAATATTTTTTTTATAGTTTATTGCTTTTAAAATGTTATCAAAATTTAATAAGTAGCTATAGCAATAGACATTGGCAAATAGAAAGTTTCTAATTAATTTCCCTGACAAATTTCCTAGAAATTTTCTCATGAATAAATTTCTATAGAAATTTAACTTTATTGTTATACAATGGGATCCCCATACCTATAGCTATTGTAATACTATATGAATGATACATAATACTATACATATAAATTATATGATATAATATTATACTATAGTATACTACTATACAAAATGGGATACATATATATATAAAATAATTATAATTATTTAATAATAATCATTTTTGTAAAATATTATTCATCATTTTATTATATATATATCATAGTTTAATATAATTTAATTAATTAATTTTTATCTTTAATTATTAATTAAAATACTAATAATAATATTTAAATATTAATTGTAAAAACAATGTATGTTACAAGGTAACAAAATTAACATTAGGATCATAGAAAGGATTTTTTAGAAACTTTCTAGAAATTTCTCTATAATTTTATAAATTTTTCTTTTTTGCCAATACTAAATAGCAATAATAATATAGTATAATAAAATCACTAAATAATGTGAATGTAATGTCAAAGTGACAATTATTGTGATTTACAATATTATCGTGTAATATAAAGATTTTATTTTTGCACAAATAATTTTAAATTTTATATATGTATAACAACTTTGGACAATCAATTGATGTGATTTTACGCCCTATAAAATTATACATATTTATTGCTATTATTTAATAAATTGTGAGCGACTGTTAAAAAATGTTTCATTATTTTATTTTTATGTATTCAGAGTTATGTTAAAGTGAATGATGTGAGTTATAAAGTAATGTGTAGACTGGGTTAGGGAGGAAATGGATAGTAAGAAAAAATGTAATAAAATTAATGATTTTATCAGTTCGTTAGATAACAACAATTGATAGACAAAATATAGAAAAATTATATCTTTTAAATCTGAAATATTTATTGATGATATAATACAGATAAATATTTTAATACATTTGTATAMTTAAAATGTTTTTAATTTAATTTTAAGAATTATTATGACTTACCTATCGATACCAATGACAGTGAGAGTCCAAACACTTACAAATACAGAGCAAGTTTGAGCAAAGTTGACGATAGGACACAACTGTGTGGAAAAGATCCAGTGATTCAACATAAAGCTTGTGTATGTAAATGGTATGGACAGGAGGGACAACACTATGTCAGACACCGATAAATTAATCAAATATTTCCACAGCTCTGATGAAATGCGATCGCCTTTTAATAGGACAACAATTGTAACCAAATTACTGGTCAATGATATGAAGGCAGTGGTCGAGTAGATGACAATAAGTATGACCTGATAGGGCCAGAACTCCAGTGCCTCCAATACTGGCAGTTCTGAACTAGTTTTGGTGTCATTTAATGATTTATTTCGGTTCTCTATATACTTAATGGCATCCATTAGATCTGTAAAATCTCTTTGAATAAACCATTAAAATCTTCATTCAATATATATTTTTTAAAATAAATTTATTTACAAATCGAAAGATTTTTTTATGAATATTTGACTCCAAAGGAATAGGTTTTCAAATAAAATATTATTTTTTTCTTAAGGCTTTTATTGTTAGAAACTATTTTTTGACTCAAATAGTAGTCTAACATCAGATTCACATATTATGACAACAGTTATATCGTAAATAACTATAGACTCTCACAAGTGTTGAATTTGTATGCTATAAAAATAAATAGATATTGCGCTCACTCTCTGTGCTCTCTGTGCTCTCTGTGCTCTCTGTGCTCTCTGTGCTCTCTGTTCTCTACATTTTTTATGATATGAATTACTTTACTCTAAAAGAAACAGTTTGTTTAAAGATTTTATTTATTTGCACTTATTTTAAAAACTTAATATAATTACACTGAAAATAAATTTAGTAAAATATATTATTTATAAAAATTACATTCTTATATATATTGATATATATATACTGTATATAAATTTTAATAAATATGTTTTATTATTTCTATACTACACTGTGTAAAGCATTTATGGGAACAAATAAATGTTCTATTATTTAAAAAAGTATAAGAGATATTTTAATCAAATAAAGTATAAAATAATAAGTAATAATTGAGTTTATGAAAATAAATTTTACTAATTTTTGTATTACACAACTTTTTTAAGAAAGCGGGGTTTTTTCATAAATTACGTAAAATTACGTAAAAATGTTCACATTTTAAAGATGTTTTATTTATTTTAAAATTTTAAAAGAATTAATTAAATTCCACTTTCTTGACATTAAAGATACTAAAAAAGTAAAATGTATTAAAATGTATTAAAAACTTCGAATTAACTTGACCAGGTTTTTTGAAAATTCTATTTTTATTTTATTTTTGTAAAATACATGTAAACAAAATAACATTGGGTATTTTTATTGTTGAATGGGATAAAAAAAATATAATTCACTTTTATAAACCTCAACTATTCCTTATTATTTTAAACTTTATTTGATTAAAATATCATTTATACTTTTTAAATAATAACATTTATTTGTTCCCATAAATGTTTTACACCGTGTATTAGTAATAACTAGTTTTTAAATAATAATTATCAATCAAACAATTGTATAAAATTTTAATTCAAAAATATCACAAATAAACTAAACAATTATTTAATTAACAAATTGGGAAAAATTGAATACTTTTAGAAAATATCTCACTTTCTATGCATCAAATATATGTCAACATATTTATGGGTTAATCTAACAAACCGTTTAGTGTCTGTCCTTCACGACTTCAACTATTAAACTATAAATGTAATTAAAATTTATTAATTAATTTAAATATTATAAAAAGATTTTTGTAAATTCAATAAATTTTTTAGTTTATTTATAGGCCTAAAAACTAATTTTCAACAAACTTATACAAATGCTTTACAAATATATTTTTATACTTATATTAATACTGAGAACTACTAAAAATAAAAACAAACAATTGAATTGTAAAATATATCTTAATAGTAAATTTGTATATTAAAAAAAATATTTTCAATAATTACTTTTTGTTGTCTCCTTACTATAAATGATTAAATGAAAGACAATTCAACAATATTTTGTAATATTTGTACATTTTTTGTGTCACTGCATTCAATGTTTTGTTTTGATTCAATATATAATCAATATTTTAAAAACATTTTTTAATAACTGTATCTACAGTTTAGTATAGTTTATCATTTTGTTGTTGTTGTTGTACTGTTGAATTGTATACATTTAGTTATGACTTCTATATATTATAAATATAGCCCACAGTATTTTTAAATTGTAAAATTGTATTAACAATAATATATACACTAATAATAGATTTTTATTCTTGCAAATTCATATATCAATATGTTATAAGTTATTTTGAAAAAACAATAACCACTAAATTTTATATTAAGTGCTATTTAATGTTTTTCAATTATTTTGATTAATTATATAATTATTTTTTAAAAATTTGATATTAATTAAATTTAGTTTTATTAAAATAATACTGTATTTATTATATACTGTAATATTTTTTTATTTCTATTACATATTGTTATCTTATACTATATATAATTGATGTGATATATAACATATGGAGTGAAGTATAATGTTATGAAATATAGAATATAAGTAAATATTGATTTATAATTTTGGTTTTTATTTCTAAAATATTTGTCAAATATTTGTTAAATTAATTTTGTTTAAAATTAATATATTTTTAAATTACATTAAATTATTTTTGTTTAGCTTATATATATTCTTAAATATAATATATTGAGTTATATAATAACATGTTTTGAAAACGTTTTATAATTTAATTAATTATTTATAAATATTAGTCAAACAGATAAAGTAATTGTTAATTTTTAAAATATTATATTTTATTTTTACTAAACTAAATAATTAATTATAAAATTTTTAATTTTCTAATACAAATATTTATTCCACTTTTTCTGTCATTTTATGATGTTATATCTTATGATTTATTAAATGTATTATAGATTATATAATAACCGAAAAGTAATGAAACAAAATGAGATATTTCTAGAAAAATTCAAAATGTCATTTTAGTTTATGTGAAACTCATAATAAATTGTTATCTAAAATGTATTTTCAATAATAAATTCAATGCGTTTTGTATTACTTGTTTGTCAACATGTTTTTTGTTTGACATTTCGTAAATACTATTTGTATCACTTAAACCAATTGGGATTAAAAGTAAATAATATTTTATAATCAATACTTTATTATGAAATTTATTCATATATTAGTTTTATGAACAAAATTATAGAATTAATTAAAACTAATATAAATGGATTAAAAATATTGATAAAAAATAAGTTATTACTTATACATATAAATAAATTAATAAATTTCTAGACTTTAAACAATTATTATTAATTCTAAATATTTTAATTAACATTATTAAATAAAAGCATTTTTAAAAATATTGATGACATTTTATTTTGCATACTAATATAACAAAAATATATAATAATAAATAATTAGAAAATGTCGGAAAATGTATATAAATGTATTTAATTTGATTGACAATATTTTATAAATATTTTAAAGATAAAATAAAATTATGACAATAACTTATAAAATTTTCTTAGAATTTAGACTATAAATTAAATTAAATTTACAAATTTTTATTTAATGTTAATACGATTTCCGTAAATGTTTTTCTATTTATTAACAATTTCAATAAAGCTTTAAAAGTAAATCAGATTAACATTAATTTTGTTAAGTTAGCAGTATATTAACATTTCAATGTAATAATAGTTTTATCAAAAAATATCTCGCATTTTTAAATCTAATAAAATTTCAATTGTTATTTTGATAAACTTAGTAGACATAAATTATAACATAATAACCAGTATTTTTTTTATATAGTGTTATAGTTGTAACTTAAGTAACAAAATTTTAAACGTGAGTTTTAATTTACGACATTTATTAAGTATTGACATTATTTTATATCATTTTTTTAATTAATACATTACTTAACCTGAACTTACTAAACTATATTTTATTAAACTATAAAATAAAAGTTAATAATACAGTATTTTAAAGTTAAATGAATTACAATGTTTAATTTATAGTAAAAATATAAATTTATTTTTTTTATTTTTAAATAATATATAATATTACTTATTTTAAACATGTGGTTTATTTCATTACATATTAAAGTAATAAAAACATTTTTGTTTTTTATTAATTTATTAATTGTTATAAATTTTAAATTAGTTTAATTTGACTTTTTAGTTTTTTTATTTTGTTTGAATTTAATTTAATTAAAATTTGACTAATGCATTTTTTAAAACATAGTTTAATTAGTTTTTATAAAAATAAATAGTGAAAAAAATAATATTTATTAAAAAAATTGATTAAAATAAACAAATATTTATTATATTATATTTAGAGTTCTGGAGAATTTTTTCGTTAGTTTTTTATTCTAAACATTTAATATTTTTCATTTTTCCTGAATAGAAATTGACAAAATAGAAAGTTTCTAGAAAGTTTCTCATGAATAAATTTCTTTAGAAATTTAATTTTATTGTTATACTATGGAATAATCATATCTATAGCTATTTTAATACAGTACTATATTAATAATGAAACATAATACTATTCATATAACATTATATTGTACTATAAAATGTAGTACTACTACTATACAAAATGTGATACCTATATATAAAATAATTATAATTAATCAAAAATAAATTAATTTACAGTTATAATAAAATAACCTAATCAATGAAATTAAATAAATTTTATTAATTAAATTAAAAACTTATATTTTACTATTATACAAATAATATAATTATATTAAATTAAATATCTTTATATAATTTCTTTAATATTTTTTTCAACTTTAAATAATTAATTTGTGGTTAGTTTTTTGAGATGTTATTGTTTGCAAATAAAACAAATTAAACAATTTACTTAATTTACTTAATTTTCACAAAAACTTTTAAAGCATAAATGAGATTTATAAAGTTTTATTGCATTTATAGTATAAAAATTATACAATTGGGAATTAAAAACAAACATATAATTTAAATGATAATAAGCAAATAATCTTTTTTCTTAATTRTAAAAAATATTTTATTTACTAAATTATTTTAAAGCATTTATTAAAAATCTATTTAGAATTCTATTTATATTTTTAAAAATAATTTATCTCATCTTCTAATTTTGYTTTAAATTATAAAATATGTGATAAAAATTCTTTTAGTTGTCTAAAAATAAGTAGATAAATGTTTTAATATTAATATGTTAATAAAAAATATTTCTAATTGTCATTGTATAAAATATCTTTTGATTGTTGTACAAAAAAATTTTATTATTGACATTTGTTAATAGCATTATTTAAGTTTGTATTGATATAAAAGCTTTCTTTTTGGAAATAAAACTTATTATTTAATATGATTTTTATATTATAACCTGATTGTTAAAATTATAGTAATTTTACAAACTAATAATCTTAAATATCTTATATAAAATTTTATTTGATAGATAAATAAAATAAAATTTTAGATATTGTATATTATAAATGCATTTTTTATGGAAAATCGTTTTGATAATCAGTATTTGGTTTGTTTTGATCAACTATTCCTTCCTTACAATAATTTACATAATTATGTTGACATCTTTTAAATATAAACTTGATGTCTGAAAGTGCTATTATGCCCTCATTATGAGCTCTATTGTTGAAATGGGTTTCAATGAAAAATCGCGGCGAAGAACCATATTTTAGATCAATAGTTAGTGACAATTGTCTCCAATTTTCAGTGAGTGTCTCATCTGAATTGTCGCTATTTTGATGATTTTTGTTTGCACTATATATACACTGGTTTTGATTGTCCTGTTGGAAGACAATCAACTCTTTAATACCCTTTCCTTGTATTAGATAATCAATTGTCAAACAACCTGTCAATAAAAAATGATAAAAAAATATTAATAGATATAATTTATATATAGTTGATATACCTTTATTATGATGTTTACTTTCAAAATACGGAGTGACCAGTCGGGCACCTGAAGGGTTGGTATTAAGTTGACTGATGTTTAACCAGAGTGCATGTTGTTTGCCAAACAATGGCTTAATTAAGTTTGAATATAACTTAAAATATTGACCGACACTAATATCGTTAACAATACCACAATCTTTACCATTAAAATCACAACTCCAAACATAGTCATCAGTTTTGTTTGAACCGTTAGTATTGATTGGTCTTATAGGTTGATCCCCTATTAGTTCATATTCGGGTTCGTCTTCAGGCAATACATTATTAGATAAATGTTTTGTCTGACACATCACTTTCATTGATGTTATTAATAATAATACAATCAAAACAAATATATATAAAATAACAGAAGAAAACATTTTCAATTTATCCGACTGTCATATACTGTATATTATATAATTAGTTTGTTATTTATATATAATTGTTATATTTTATGTTAATATCAACAATAACTTATAAGTAATTTTCTGCTAATATGAATTTAACACTTGAATTATTAGTATTGTTATTATAAATATATTTTATTATAATACTTGACAATTAAATTTTATACAACAAATATACTCACTTTATAATATTAATATAAAAACAACTTGAATGAAATTTTTTTTAAAAATCTTATAAAATATAAAAATATATAACAAATGAAAAAATACTTGTAATGAAAACGTTGAAAATGTCACGAATTAAATGTATTTTTAGTGTTTATTTTTTTAGTGTTTTGACATTCAATGTATAAAATGAAATAATTTATATTAAAAATACTAGTTTAAGGCAAGAATTCAAACATTGCTAACAAATGAGGCAAAAAACTGGATGTTTTGCTTTTCTTATATTTCCTGTCAGTGTTGACAACACAACACCTCTTTACGTATTAATCAGTGATTACACCGGTATTTACTTATTTGTTTTACTTATTTCTTTACTTTACTCTTAATATATGTTTTATTTATTAGCAAATTCTAGATTTCAATTATCGTATAAACTTTTTATAGTTGTATTATATACACAGTAAATAAAATATCATTTTATTTTAAATTATTTTAATTTTTAAATTTTATTTCATAGTTAACTTTCAGTATTATTCTTTGGATGTTAATATCTAGTATAAAATAAGCATTATGAATTTTAATTTAGATAATTTAAATTCATATTTTAGCATATTTTAGTTATTACAAAGTTAACTTTATAATAAAAATTTAATGTATGAATTATATTTACCTTAAACTAGAGACAAAACTAGTCATACTATTTTAAAATTACTTTTATTAAAAATATATCTAATAAAAATTAATCTCATCTATTATGTCACTAATCTTTATATATTAAAACTATTTTAATTTTTCTGAAGTTATTGTACACTAAATTATATTAACATTACTAATGATTATAATAATATCTATTATAAAAAAATATTTTTTATTGCTATTGATTTTTTTGTTATGTTTAACAAAGTCTAATAGTTACAACAAACTTATTCTTATAAAATTTACATTTAAGATATAGTATAAAAATATTTAATTTTTACAGTTTATTAAATTATTAATTAAATACATGAAATATAAAGTTGTTATTAATTCGACATATTTTATTTGTACAGATATATAAATTATAGTAAATAACTGTAATTGTAGATTTATAATGTTAAAATAATTTTAAAATATTCTGTCATATGATATTATTAAGCTTATTTTAATAAAGCATAAACTAATATTAGAGAATAAATATATATCTAATATCTATTAAAATATACTTTAGTTATATTAATATCCAGATAAGTCAAATAATAACTTTCCAAAAAAACAGAAATTTGATATTATTATTATTATTATTATTATTATTATTATTATTATTATTATTATGTACTGTATTTTGTTATACTTTATTCAATTAGATTTATTTTATAAACTACTCTATTTGTTATTCGAGAAATAAATGTAAAACAGAATATATTTTTGTATTATTTATTTTTATTCTAACAGTAATGTTATTATAAAATTTTTAAAATATTTTTTTACCATAATTTAAAAATGTAGATATCTTATAAAAACAAAAATACAATAAAATACATAAATAAAACATGTAAAAAGTATAAAACTAATACAGTACTGTATATGCACTTTTAAAATGTCAATACTCAATAGTGTTTTATGATTTAATATTTTTTTATTAAATATTTTAAATTCTATTATAATAATATTAAATAGTTATAAAAATTATATATAATAACTTTATCAAGAAAGTAAAATTTATATAATTATAAAAAATAAAATAATTTATGCTATTTTGTAGATTTAGTTTGTTATCTGAATAAATAATTTTAGTTCAAATCAGATTAGATTTTTAAGTTTTAGATATTATAATTTGTATTATTATATTTCAAAATAATATTTTAATATTAAAATTTTTTAGCAAAACTACCTAACCTAACCAACATTATTCGACATTATAATTAACTACATTTCTAAAATTTTAATATATTGTATAAAATACGACTTATTTTAAAAATTTTAATATTCACACTTTTTAACATTTAAATTTGTTAGTGTAATATTCAATTATAAATATTAAATTCATTTGAATTTATTATTTAATTAAATTTATTATTAATTTTAAACCTCAAAATCAATGATACAGAAATTATTATTAAATTTATGTAACTATAATTATAATATGTTAAATATTTTTATCATATATTTATAAAAGCTGGTAAATTGGTTTTATTTAAATATACATATGTTTGTATATTTAGTGACATTTAATCCCATACAGTATATTGAGCCGATTATTGACTATTATTGACATTAAAAGACAAATGTTTAATAAACATATGTGTAACTGTATATTGTTATGATTAAAATTGTTACCTTACTTTCATAGTTGATCTAATCTTAGAAAAAAATGTTGCTATGATACACATTATATTGAATTTTATTGTATAGTAATTAAATAAATTAGTTTTATATACGGTATATATATATATATATATATATATATATTTTAATTGCATAGCATCTACTGCAGTACAATGATGTGTCTCACTTTAATATACTGTAACAGTATTATCACTTATAATTTTGTCGTTAGATAAGTGAAAAAAAAATAAAGATTGAACCAACCCGTTTTTAGTAGTTTATAATTAATAAATTCATTATATATAGAAAATTAAATTAATAGTTTTTTTGCTTATTATTACAAATATAATAAAAACATTTGTCGTTTAGTTTGAGCTCAACTTACATTTAAACAATAACCTGATTCACTCATTTTTAATTAAATTACCACAATATTTGGATATAATTATGTTAATACTGTATGAAAATATTATAATATATATTTATCAGGGTTAGTAAKGGGGGTAGGGGGTGTAAGGCCAAAATACTCCCCCTAAGATAGAGAAATTGGGATTTTACCCCCAGACTTTTTGACCAAATTGGAAAAATTGTCGCTTAAAAACGACGAGAAATGACCCCCCCCCCCCGCTAAAATTTCGGCGCCTAAGGTGCCGAAAATTTTTTTGAAATTTATAAAAATTTTAATTTTAGTTGATACTATTTTAGTAAATATTTTTATGTTTTTAATATTTATAAAAATCTAATTATTGATTAAAAATAGTTAAAATAACATTAAAACTCATCAAAAAATAACATTATTTTAATTAAAATAAACTAAAAACTAAAAAATTACCTATTTGTTGAAAAGAGTAATCATATTACAATTAAAATATAAGTTTAAGATAGTTTAAGAAGTTAATAAAACAATAAATACTTATATTATAAGTTTTTTATTAATAATTTTTAAATTTTAAATAAAAAATTTAAAAATAATTTCAATTTTGTACTTAATATAATTAAACTTTAACGAAATTTGAGTTAAATAAGTAGTATTCAGTCAGTATTTGTATAATAATAACATTTAAAAAATTACTATAAACATTAAGTATTATTTAAAAAATTAATTATGTTAAAAGTTAAAAATTATTAACATACTAAAAATAACTCATAGTGTATCATTAATGCTTTTATCAACTATTTTTAAATCTTAAATACATTATTTTATTTTTTTGTTAAAATTTGTTTTTAATTTTTAAAATTTAAAAAAAATTATTTTTTGTTAAAATTTAAGTTTTTGTTAATTTTTAAGTTTTTTTTTAAATATTTTTGGAAATTTTACCTATTTTTTCGGGAAGTTATACGGGAACTTATAAAAATTTTATTGAGTTTACATGGGAATATTCGGGAACTTAAAGAATTTTTAAGGTATTTTCTCTTGACCCCCCCCCCCCATGATTTTGGATTTTTGAAAAAATTGCCGTTTAAAAATGCTATAAAAATCTTACCCCACCCCCAAGACTTTTCGAGAATTTTGTAAATTTTACCCCGGTCTACCCCCCCTAAAATCCAAAACCTTGCTTAACTCTGATATTTATAGTACAATTTGTACATTAAAACTATATTTTATTATACAGTATAATTTTATCATGTACTGAAATATATATAACTACACTGGACGACATAACTATAGAATATTATATAATCTAATTAAATAAGACTTAAATTCAATTGAATTAAATATTTTATAAAATTATTAAAACATAAGGGGGGATATAATAAAAATAATAAATTAAAAATAACAAAATAACCAGTTWTATTAAATTATGAGATAATCCTTATAATCTCAACACAACACGTGTGCCATAAGTTTTGAATTGGTCGGTAAGGACGCCATATTTCATACCAAAACAATTAAAAAGTAAGTAATTGGTAAATTTAATTAAATTTAATTTATAATATAMTAATTAATTAATTTGTTTATTTTTAAAGACCAAAATGGGCCGAAAAACACAATTAACGGATGTTGAAAGAGGCCAGATTGATGTCTTGCGGCGAACACATCCCGACTGGACGGCCACAAAAATAGCGACCGAAATAGGTCGTTCACAACCGACTGTAAGTCGATACTTGGCCGATCCCGAAAATTATGGACTAACTAGAAATTTTGCCGGTGGGTCTGTTATGGTTTGGGTGGCTATCGGTTACTTTGGAAAATCCGAAATTGTAATCATTGATAGCTGCATAAACTCTGACAGATATCAGGACATAGTTGACCAGTTTTTATTGCCAATTGGACCACTAATTGCTGATGTCCCGTGGATATTCCAGCAAGACAACGCGGCACCCCATCGGTCCGGGTCCACAATGGACTGGTTTGCGGCCAACGATGTCGAAGTTCTTTCGTGGCCGGCACGGAGCCCCGATCTCAATTGTATTGAGAATCTGTGRGGTTGGTT